AATCAACAGGCCTGACAGGAAGAGGCCCGTGGGCTCTGCGGCGTTGCTGGCTTTGGTCCCTGTGGGGCTGATTGCATCATGGCAGCTTGCTAGAATGTCGTCCTGAGTTAGCCAGGCTGCTCTCAAAGAGCTGGGGGGTCATTGCATTAATTAGGGGCTTTGGCTGCAAGACGGCCTCCTGGGTGGTGTCGCCAGGGTGATGGCCTTTGATGGCAGCCTTTGCGATTGAAAGCCATTCGGTGATCCTGGGGAGCTTTGGATCCGGTGGCCAAGTGGAGCTATGCTTTGCTTGAACTCTGACCATCAACCACACAAGAGCAGGAACCTGTACACTGGCCTCCACTTTGGCTGCCTGTTCCCACTGCAGGTGGCCTCTGGGCTCCTTGTTAAGAAAAAGGTCCCCAAGCTGCCCGCAGCTCCTGTGGACCATGGCCAGGTATGAGATCACACCTTGTGAATGGCAGGGAAGCTGCCAGTTCCCGTAGCCTGACAACACAAACCTGTCCTCACTAAGTGATGCCAGTGTGTATGGCCGTGTGTCTTCCCTGCTGCTCTCTCACCCAGTCCTGCCTCTTGGGACCTCACGTGTGACCCTGTAAAACTTCACCTGCTTGGAGGGGGCCCATCCCACTGGGCTTGGGAGACTGTTGGGGATCCTTTGAGAGATTCTGTCATCTGCCATGTTTGCCATCCGTCCCAACTTTATCCACAGCGTCAAGAATCAGCAGCCTCTGGGCTCAGCCTGCTGGGGTTCAAGTCTTAGCTCTGTCTTTTACAAGCTGTGTGACTTTGGGCAATATTTATTTTCTCTGTGCCTCAGTTTCCTCCCCTGTAAAATGGGGTTATAATTAGTATTCAATAAGATAAGGCCCGCTGGCACATAGTTAGCACTTAATGAATGTTCATCACTGCTGTTATTAAGATACTGCCACTGATATAAACATGTTGATATGTCAGGGCCAAAGGCAGAGCACTAAGATCTTGCTGCTCACAGTGTGGTCCCTGGACCTGCTTCACTGGCTTCACCTGGGAGCTTGCCGGGAGTGCAGAATCCCAGGCCCCACCTTTGACCTTGGGATTCAGCATCTGCATTTTAACAAGATGCCCATGACCCCTGTTTGAGTGAGTCACTGAAGGCTAATGTATGGCAGTGAATGAGCATCCATGGGAGGTGACTGTGGAGCGAAGTGGGCAGCGATTCTCTTGCTGCCCAGAATTTCTCCCTTCCCCAAAGCAGGTTGGGAAGACAGCTGGCTGCCTTGCTGTATGCTGGCATGGAGGCTGAATATGAATTTTAACCTGCTGTTGCCTCAGAAAGAGAGTGGGATGGGGGAAGATGTGTGAGGGAAATGGTGAGGGGAGAGGCCTGCGAGATGATTCGCTATGAGCTCCTCGCCCCTGAACATGATCCAGGACCCCATATCTGATAGGCCTCATTTATAGCAACCATCATTTATTCAACATCTACAGTGTGCCAGGCACTTTACTTACATTATGTCCACTCCTTACAACCACCCCAGGAGGTACAACTTGCTAACCCCACTTTACAGATGAGGAAACTGAGGTCTGTGAGATCGGGGCTGAGCTCACCCAGCCAATAAAAGCCTGAATTTTTATGTGCTTCCCCATAACCCTGCCTAGATCACCGAGCTCTTAACAGTCACAGCAGCCACTGTGGCAGGCTATAGAGCAGGTGGTTTTTGGTGATTATTCAAAAAAGGAAAAACTACTTCTGCAGAAGAGGAGGCTGGGCCTGTTACATTTAACAAGAATGCGAATTGCCTGGGCCGGTTGCCTCTTAAGGAGGCAGGCACCACGGGGTAGAATTCACAGGTCCCCGGCCAGACCTGCTGCTGCATAGGCTTTAAACATTAAACTACAGGGTGGCCTTATTTAAAAGCAGACCATTTTATAAGGCACACGGTGCCGTCTAGACGTGGGACATTTATGAAAGTGGCTGTGCTGCGTGTTGGGCTCAAACACCTGAGTTCCCGGCTCCAGTCAATTTCTAGGTGGAGTGAAATCTGACTCGTGCAAGAACAAATTGGGTTTTTTTTTTGAGGGTGTATGATTTCAGACGTTTGGTAATCTCTTCCTGCTGGGCTCTTTCCTTACCTTGTCTTTCTTTGTCGATGTGGGCGAGGAGGGGGGTAAACAGAGGATTCGTTCTCCATGATGCTGGCGCCTCTGTGCGTGTCTTTGGCCGTGATGGAAGTTATGTAATTCTTTGTGTGATTTTTGCTTCTTTTCCTTCTCTCCCAACCCCCCACCTTGAGGGCTGGGGCAGAATCGTGTTGGCTTTCTCTTGTGTTGTCTCAGCACTGTGCTTGGTACCTGGTAGGGGCTCAAAGGAGTAAGTGAATCAACAGTCAGCATCCAGTGGATATCTTGCGTCAGACTTTTGATGCTAAGGAGGAAGATTTCATTTTCCTATCCACCTGCATGGGCAACTGTAAGGAGGTGGGGGAAGATCGCCCTGGGTTCAAGTCGTTCCCCCTTTTGTCCGGTCTCAGACCTGGTGCCATGATGATTATGGTGGTCCCCAGCTGCTCTGAGCTTTCTGACGTTACGGATGAGGGTACCATTTAAAGACCCAGAAGAGAGATTCTCCCGCCCTTTATGTGCTCTGGAACAAATGTGACCTCCATTCCCAAGGCTGCCCTATGAGGAACCAAGAGGAACTCAAGTTCGTTCTGAGGAAGGAAGGAAGGAAGGAAGCAAGGAAGGATAGAAGGCAGGCAGGCAGGCCCTATATATGGGGGGCACTCTCTCTGGGTTAAACATGGCTGAGATTTATTGAGCACTTAACCTGGGCCAGCTCATTCTAAGCACCTGACATGTCACCCTCACAGGGAGGGACCCATGAGGCAGGGGCACTGTTATTTCCCTACTTGAAGGACAAGGAAACTGGAAAACAGAGAGGTTATGTAACCTGCCCAGGGTCACACAGCTGGTGAGGGATTTTAGCCAGGACTCAAAGCCATGTCATTAACCATTATGCAATACTGCTTTAGGGTGCCCTGGCTCAGTTTATCCTTCAACTTCATGAATCAAGCACTACATTACATTACAGGAGCTACATATATGGGTCTCCTCCTTTTTAAACTCTTTAAAAATGTGACAACTATTCTTAGCTCTCTGAGACCTACAGAAACAGGACAGGAGCTGGCTTTGGCCCACAGGCCGAATATGCAGCAAACTAAGAAGCAAGATAATTTCAGATGTTGCGAAACACCCCAAAGACAATAAAATGGGGGAAAGGTGTAGGGAGAAGGAGGTGGCCAGGGTGGCCTTATCCACTGGAGGAGTCCCAGAGGGCCTCCCGATGGGATGGCATGTAGCTGGAGCTTGAACACTGAGAAGGATGTAAGGATTTGAGGTGTGTAAAGCGCTTAGCACAGCATCTGTACCATATATTAAGTGCCCAACAAATTAAAAAAAATAACAATAGCTATCATTTTTGTGGCTTGCCATTAAATGAGTCTGTGACCTTTGGTGAGTCATTTGCCCTGCTCGTGGGAGTTGAACTGAAAACCTTCCCTCTGACCTTGGCACTTGTACAGTTTTCAGTGATTTCTAGCATTTGCCTCCTCCTGACTCCCCACTATCTCTTTGAAATAGGGAGCAGAATGAGCCCTCTTTTACATTTTCAATAGAAGACTCATTGTCAAGAGGGAAGCTTTTGCGGGAGGACAGCCACCATGCTTATTGACATTTATGGAGCCCTTTTAGTTTCCTCAGTGCTGAGTGGGGTTTTATTAGAATGTGGACACTTGCCTTTCACACTGGGCTGGAACCATCCCCCTGGCAAATGCACCGTGGGACCCTCTGCCTCTGGCTCCACTATTGAGGGATATTGACAAGTGGGCTTATTTTCTTACCCCGAAGAATGTCACTACCCTCCCCTGACCTTGGATGTTGAAAGAATGTATTCCTATTGTCATTTAACAATAGCGGCTAAGTTCAGCCTGCCGCATAATCAAAGGGGTGATTTCTCCCCTCCACAGGCCCATCTTTAGTTCATGGAGGAATGTAGGAGTTGATCCAACAGCCACCCACATCCTCCCTGCCTGTGTGTGTTCACTGTCTGCGTCCTCCAAGAACCAGCTTTCAGAAACGCAGGCCCTGCTTAGATCAAATAAAGCCTTCCAGTCACATCTTTACATTTGACGTAAGCTTATGGATGCTTTTCCTGCTACATATTGAATGGGGCTGTTGCGAGTGCCCGGGGGTAGTTCTGAGCCTGGCACCGTGGTGAAAAGGGACCTTGTAGCTGGAAGCTCATTCATCTTTGTGCAATGAGCATCCCTTTATCCAGTGTCCTGTGTCTTCTCTCTGCTTTCTCCATTCCTCGGTTGCCCATGTAGGTAGGATGTCAAAGAAATCCTAAGTCATCCTCCGATCGTGCCTGTTTTGACAGTGTTTGGCAGGAGTGGTCCCTCCTTTTCCTCTCCAGTTCCACTATCAGTTCTCTGGTCTGGGCTCTCATCACCTAAGAATATCAGCCCCTCCCTCCCCCTCACCTCCCTCCTTCTCTCCTTCTCTCCTCCCCTCCCCTTTCAGTCTACCTGCCTGCCCACACTAAGTGTTTTCTCAGGCCTGCCACGTGCCAAGCGCAGCGTTAAGCGCCGGAGATAAAGCAGTGAATAAGATCCCCACTAGCGTAGAGTCACGTAACGATACAAATACTGATTTAATTACAACTGGGGAAGGTTCTGCAAAAGTGAATACAGGGAGCTGCTAGTTGACGTAACCCGTTTTGGTGAGGTCAGTAAATAGCAAAAACAATAATAAAAATCGCTTCCCGATTCTTGTTGAGTCATAGATGGACTCATTGTATTTCAGAAATCTTTTCATGTGCAGCGTTTGCTGGGGACCTGGTGTAAACTGGAAGTTGGGACTGTTCACAGATGTGAATACGATCCCGTTGAGGCATTCACTCTGAGATAGTCAAGGTGTGGCACTGGGCTGTTGATACTAAGCATGTTTTTTTTCTCCAGAGCACTCAATGCCTTTGTAATCCAGAGGGATGGTTTAACTATGAAAGGGTGGTACAGGTGAGTCGAGGCTGCAGAAGCACCAGTTTGGGGGGTGGGTGGCTAAGCAGGTTTTTGGAGCTGGCAGCAAAGTAGTTGGTGGGCTTCCTTGTTACCTGTGAATACCTCTCCCACCAATACCTCTTTGTCCTCCTAGAGCCAAGGAGAATTGAATTACCAAGCTACTTGTTCATAAGCAAAAATGAATCCATTGGCAGACATAATTTTCCTTATTAGATTTCTATTGTCATTTAATGCCTTCTATTTATGGATTTCTTTGGAGTAATTGCTCTGTGCCTTGGCCCTGGCAATTCTCAATAATTTGGATTTGCAGGAGACATTGGTACAGAGCTTTTGGAGTCAACCGGGGCTGGGCAGGGAGTCTGGCTGTCACTCCCTTGGTTTTACCCTGATTTTTCTCTAGCAGAGACTTTTGGTTACATCATGCACTATTGATAGTGCCTTGAGCAAGAGGAAGGATGTATGAAGGATTTGGCTTCTGAGCAATTGCATAAACGCAGCGTAACCTGAAGTCTTAAAACCCAAGGTTTGAGCAGAACTGGCCTTGAGATTGGGCATGCAATAAGCTTTCTGTAGCCATCGCCATGGCGGCTGCACGGTGGATCTGAGTGATACTAATTTCACCTATCCATGTTTAATCATCGATAACCCTCTAAACCGAGCACTCTTTTTCTCCTTTTTTCAAAGAATCAGGATTCCTAGAATTCCTAGAATCTGGCCACTTGAAGAAGCCTCTTCATTATGAAAAATATCCACCGTCCCAAACCCCGGGCTGTTAAAACCTGATGTTTTCGAGAGAAGGGTGTTTCTGCTATAAATGAAAGACATGACAGGGGGTATTTCGAAGCTTTGTTTTGGTTATTGTCAGTTCTGCCAACAAGTAACATCTGTATTTATTTTCTGAACTTCTCCCAATGGCTGATTTGCATCTGTTTAGTTCTCTGAGTAACATTTCATTTCCTGACTTTATAGGTTGCTATAAAATCCATTCGTAAGGACAAAATTAAGGATGAACAAGACATGGTTCACATCAGACGAGAGATTGAGATCATGTCATCCCTCAACCATCCTCATATCATCAGTATTTATGAAGGTCAGTGATTTTTTTTTTTTCACCCCCGTATCAGTTACCATTTCTCATACCATGGGGCTTGCCAAGATTTTTAGGTAAATTGCCATTCTGGGCAGGAGCCAAGTATTTCTCCTCATGATGCAAAAATAGACGGGTGTTATCTCTTATTTGGTTACCTTGAAGGCAACCAGACACACGCAAGGCAGCTCAATTTGGTCATAAAATCTCTCTCTCCTGGCTGTCTCCCTCCATCTTCCCAATCCCTTGGAGGTTGCTAAGCAACCTGCCTATTGAAAGCCGGTATGTGAGACCGCTGTGGTTTCTGAAAAATGGCAGTTTGTTGGGTGACCAAGTAATGGTCATTTACATTGTAAATGTCATTCTCCAAAGCTCATGCTCAGGTGGTGGTATCATGAGTTACTCAAAATCGTGCCCTTTGAGTTAGGAGTTACCTTTGAGCAGGTCCAGGAAACTTTGAGAAAGAAGAGGGATCTGTTGATGCAACGGATACTTTGCAAATAGAGTCCAAGTAGTAGTTGGTGCTTGTAGAAGGTGGGGAGGAGCTTATAAAAATACTCATGCTTCAACTCTTTGGTCCTTCCTGGGAAGACACGAGAGTATAAACTTCCCACAGCTTATCATTTTTTAAAATATCCTGGAAAAGAATTATACAAACAATATGTGTTTATTGCAGAATGATTAAAATACAAACATTAAAATTAAAAAATAATTTTTGTTCTAATTCTCAGTTGGATAAATAGCTCTCTATTCATACTTATATTTTTATCTACTTCTCTATATCTGTATGTGGTCTTTATCCAAAGTTAGATCATACTGTTTATGCTGTTTTTTAGCTTGCTTTTTTTTTCAGTTTTTATATTATGCTTCTTTTCCTATATCAATAAATATTCCCCTATAAGGACATTTTGAAAGGCTTTATAGTATTCCGTTTATGGAAATACCATTATTTATTAAATCTAATTCCTTTTGTCAAACATTTAAGTTGTTTCAAATTTCTGGTTATTATAAACAGGGCTTTAGTGACCCTCCTTGGACACTATTTTTACATTCATTTGTGAATTTTTTTTTATGAAAAATCCCTAGTCTTGGACTTTCCAAGTCAAAGTGTTTCCCCAGAATAGTTTTTAATATATGGTCAAGTCAGAAAAATGAACCTATTTTAAATTTCTGATCTGATCATGAGAAGTTATACAGTAAGGGCTAAGAGAAAACCAGATGGTAACCATGGAGTTTTTCTGATATTTAAAATTTTCCTTCTGGTTCCCCGCTGTTTTTTGCTCCTCACCTAGAAGTGATTGTTGGTGATATTGTTTATCTTGATTTTTCTATAGCTCATTTTTGGAGTTCTTGGGGATAGGATTTTTAAGAGAAATTTTCCTTCAGCCATTTTTTTCATTCCACAAACATTTCTTGCAGTTATTCTCAAAGCGTGGTCCGTGGACCATAAATTGGAATTGTTAGAAATGCAGATTTCCAGGCATCACCCACGACCTGCTGAATCAGCACCTCTGGGGGTGGGACCCAGTCATCTGTGTTTTCACAGCTTGAGAACCATGGGTCCACTGAGTATCTACTTCTTGCTCTGCACTGTGTGAAACGCTAGAATCTGAAAGAGGAACATACTGTGGGTCTCACGCTCAAGAAATGATGCAAGGCATGATGGGAAATGTGTTATGGAGATGTGTAAGCAACATATTCTGGAACCATGGAGGCTAGGGGATTAGACGTTTTCATGGAGATGTGTGGCATCGTGCCGGGCCTCGGACGAGTTTTCTTTTGAGGAAGAATTGATGAAAGCAGAATTTCAGGCTGATAAAGGAATTCTGAATCTGCCCGGTGGATGAAGGGAATTTTCTACAAGTTAGAAATGAGTAGAGATGCAAAATGCAGGATGAAAATGAGTTTCATTAAATTCTGAGTGTCCTTGCTCCGTGTGGAGTGGTTACTATGGAAACCAGAAGGCAGCAGTGAAGCGTGACCTGTGTGGCGTGGGCCGGGGTGGGTCCCATGCTCTGTGAGCATGTCTATGTTTGAGATTTCTTGGCCTAGAGCAGGAGGCTTCTTTATCTGGAAGGCAGAGAGCGTGTTCTTCCAGCATGACACTCCTGGGTCCTTTACTTGGGAGATGTCTGTGGTCATCAAAGGCTGACGTGGAGAAGCCTGACTTATTCACTAGCATTGTGCCCTCTCTGGCCTTGGGAATCCTACAGGCTGAATGGGGAACAGGAATCTAGCCCCCTCCTAAGGGAAGGCCAGAGACGGACCTTAATGGAAGATCATTTCATTATCAAGGTCAAGCTGGCTTCAGTCCAGCCCTTGCTGGAGGCTTCAAGAAGAAGAGGAGCCCTTGCTTGCAACTTTAAAGATGGGTACCAGCATGAATTCAGGTTCTCTGGGTGACTCGAAATAATTTCTATCAGGGCCTCAGGTGGGAGCTTGGGCTTCCATTCATCTCAGTTCGTGAAACTCTATGAGCTGGTTTTTGAGAGTTGGGAAAGAGCTTCACTTCTCACATCAGACAGTCTTGGGTTTCAGTCCCAGATCCTCCACTGTGGCCCAGACATGAGACTTTGGGCAGGGTAGCGGGCCTCTCAGCGCCTCAGTAACCACACCGGAAAAGTGGGGATCACCCACGTCCTACCTCTCTCATGGGGTCGTCGGTTGGATCAAATGGTGATACTTGTGCTGGTAAGCTCAAAAAAGGTAATTATTTTGAAGACAGTGTAATCATCATAAGTAGTTCTTAACCTGGGGTCCAGTGACAAGAATCTTTCATGGGTGAGCTGTAGGGGGTCTGTAAACCCTCTGGAATCATGGCGTCGTGGAATACGGACACCACTAGCCACAGATGAATATTTCGATTAAAATTAAATGAAAAAATTAAAAATTCAGTTCCTCAGTCGTACTAGCCACATTTCAAGTACTCAATAGCCACATGGGCACAGAAATCTCAGAAGGTTCTAACGGAAGGTGGTGCTCCAAGTCCCAAGGTTCTGAACGATCAAGTGAAAGGCCACCCACCAACCGGAATATCATGCCAAGTTACGTGTGACAGAGAAATAAACTTTTACTAAGTTCAGTTTGGGGGGGGGGCAGCAAGAAGGGAGCAGCGTTTGTTATTTACTCTAATTAATGCACAGCCCTTGGCCTGGAGGAGCTTTCCATTTAGAGGAGAGGTGCAGACCAAAAACAGCCAGTCCTGAGCCCTGCAGGATGCTGAGACAGAGGAGCACGGAGGCGGTAAGAGCCTGAACCTGGAAACAAGAAGGGAAGGTCAGAGAAGGCCCTGCGAGGGAGGGAGGACCTTACCCGTACTAGCCACATTTCAAGTACTCAATAGCCACATGTTGTCTTGTGGCTGCCGGATTGAACAGCGTAGATACGGAGCATCTTCATCATTGCAGGATAGGCCATGCTAGTGTATAATGTTTTATGCAGTAAATGCGTGGGTTTTTTTTTCTGGGGAGAGGGCACATCGCTTTCATCAGACTCCCAGAAGGATTCCTGACCTCAAACAGGTTAAAAAAAACAAAAACAAAAAAACCCCTCCACTGCCATCAAGTGTTTTATGACCTTCAGAGAACTATACAAATAAAAAGTATTGTTTTTATCCAGAAAACACCCAGGAACATAAATGTGGCCCTTTTTTTCTTTTTAATTTCTTAGCG